ACATTCTAATATTTGGATAGTACTGCCTTTTCTATATAGACATTCTAAATTATTTTAGGCTTATGGCCGTTAAGGAAGGCCTATTCCTTGAAAAATCTTCCATTAATTGCATTTCCTCTACTTGTTTATCGTAAAAAATCAAATCGCTGTATCTTATAATTCTTAACCCTTTCGAATATTTTCGAGATGATACTCTTAGGTAGTACCTAGATCAAGTGTCATTTTAGAAGTGAAACTTTTATTTTTCATAGTTAGAAAGTTTTACGTTATAATTTTTATATTAAATAACAGTTTTATTTATTCATCATGAAGAAAATCCCATTTTTGTAAACTTTCATATTATCCAGGACCAAACGAACCATTGTTAATCAAAATCTAAACGTTCGCTTTCGCTGAATACTAAAAGTGCTTGTAAGTGGAACATTAAACATTTTCAGGTTGTCTATTTCTTGAAATTCATACTACTTTAAATAGACTATTTGCACTCTGTTCACAGCGGGGAATCGAACTTCGTATTTTTGTATTATGAGTTCGTAAACTTACCATTAACTAACTGGATGACCCCACACCATGCAGGTCGTTAGAGAAATGTTGCTTTCCCTTTTTTACCTATATATTTCACAAAATGTTTATGTTGCCATCTAGTGGCACAGCGGTAACTTATAACTCTAAAGACCGGGTTTTGATACCCGTGGTAGGCTCAGACAGACAGTCTTTTGTGTATCTTTGTACTTCGCTACAAACAATTATTTGTGTTTTGGCGCAAAGTGACACGATGGGCTATCTGCACTGTGCCCACCACGCGTATTCGTAACCGAGTTTTAGCATGCAAGCCACTAGTTTTTTTACAAATGCTAGCAAGTCACATAGGATACACGAACCAGGGAATAAATCGTCGGTTAAATTTTATTGACAACATAATAGTAGGAAAGGGTAAAACTAGCTGATTTGCAAGTAGTTATTTTTTTATACATGATTTATACTTTTTAACTGATTTTAAAATAGTGTATATAAGAAACTACTGGTACTACAATCTGACCATTACTTTTCTAACGATAAAAAATTGACTGTTACCAAGGTACATCATAGCCTTTTTTTAAGTTCACAATGATCGCTTATTTCTTTTACGTATGCAGAAAAAAATCTATTATCAAAACGTTGATGATAGTACATACTGTTTTTACCTTTCACATCTGAAAAAAAAAGTATTACGTTTAGTTGATTGATACGGCGAAACAATGACAAAATTATGATACCCGATTTCTGTGGTGAGTTTTACACGAACTTACTATGGGTTCAAATGCTGGTTAGACAAAAATACATTGTTCCTGTGATTAATATTAACAATTACTATAATACACAGTTCTACCCAATAATCAAGCGTACAACAATATACTGCACTATTCAAACTATTACAACACATGGATGTACTAAATTTAAACAAATGATCAATGTTTTAAATCAACGAGTACTTTTATCCCAACACTAGCACTAGACATCTGGTTAATCTGTAAACGTAAAAGTATTAGATATACTTAAAAACACACAAGTGCACATTTAGCAAAATACCGAGTTACTTGCAAAATTGCAACTTTACGTAAGAACAAAAACAAACAAGTTAGTTACTGAATTTGTAAAAGTTCCAGTTATAAATCTACACATTAGGTTTTTATAAAATGAATTCCATTGTTAGTGTTACAAAAATCAATAACGCTGTGTGCAAAATCAAATTTCTGCAGCAAAACTAACTATATTTTAATCTTTTCAAGGTAAAGTATCAGAAATGAGACATTGTTACCATTATTCTGTAAATATGTCTTTTAATGAATAAAAAATTACAAATTATTTCAAGTTTCTAATTACGGTTTAAACGCTGGAAACTAGCGAAGAATTGGAAACCAACATGCTAAACATTTCTGATAAAAACAGTTGCTTTCTTTCACATTTTTTTTTCATTTGTTCACATCGGATTATAAATCAGAGGTGGGAAAAAATAGCATTTCAAAATGTACGTCTGATTTGAAGTCTGAAAGGACATTGTGAAAGAAAATATTGTAGTTTACGTATTATCACAAATGTTAGGCCTATTGGATTTTAGATTCCTAAAGATCATACTATTTTTTTTTACAACTTTATCATTTCGCTCTCTATCTTTTATAATTATTTTGGGGGGGGGGGGGTTGACTGTAGAGTTCAACATGAAGTTAAAACTTTATGTTTTTTGTAAAAACAATAAAATATTATTATTATTTGTAGTATATAACAGTCAGTGTAAATGTAGTTCATAGCTGAATAAGCAAAAACTACATCTCTTTTCAAAATGAGACATTTCCCACCTTGTAGTTTCCTTATGAAAAAAATTTTTTTTTTCTCTCACAGAAAGCGATCAATAACATGTTAATATAAAAATGTAAAGTGTTGCAAACGGATAGTTTCACAAATTATATAAGAAAGTATAAAATGTCATAAAACACCACTCACACAAAAACATGCAAGTTATTTGTATACTCTTAACTTCTATACCAGTTCCTTTCACAAAACATGACTAATCTTTTAAGAAATCTTTTGTTGAATCCAACAAGTATTCTTTTCATTTTACAATATATAAAAAAGGAATATTGAAAATTGACAAGCAAAAACATAGTAAGAAAGTTATAGATAGAAACCACATTTGATTGCATACAAATTCATGTATATATTTGTGTGTGTGTGTGTATATATATATATATATATATATTTACACTATATAAACTAATATACAGGAGCTTTGTAAGCCAAATGATTTAAGAGTTAATCTGATGTAAATGAGGACTAGATTATAATACAGAAAGAAAAGATTCAATACAAATTATTTACTAATATGGGGTTTTACCTGACTCACATTAACTATGCATTGGAGAGAAAAAAAAAAAAGCTGAGGGAGTTCTTCAAAATTTTCAGCATAAAGTTCAAAATGAACTCACAAAAACATTGATTTAGAATTGTTCCATGACTAGTGCTAGATCTTGATGTATAAAAGGATAAAAAAATAGTTTAAGTCATTCAAAAGTAAAGAATGCTTTATAGCTTAATATTTGTACATTAAAAACAAAGAAAAAAACATACATGAAGTGGTTAAACATACAGAATATTCTGTGGGCTGCTGTAAAGTGTAATTATACTTCCCTAAAAGTATACTAAATCATAAATGATAAAAAATATATATAGACATAAACCAGTAAGCCAAAGTACTTTCTCTAGAGAGATTCTAACCTTACAAAAAGATATGATCTCTGTAGTGTATTTTTCCAACATTTATTAATGAATACATCTTGCTTGTGTAGTGCAACTACTAAAGATGAATTAGGTACTGTTTCAGTTCACAGTTTCATCAGTGATTGGATTAAAGTTTAGGTTACAAGAATGACACTCTACATAACTAAGACTAAATTCCAACAAACAACTCAAGTGTGTATAACTGATTTGGATTCTATTTTTCCCTGTTAATGCAGAACTGTGAAAAATGTCTTAATTTTCTTACTAAAAATACTAAATCAGTCACACAATAATCTAATCTTTGTTTGTTCTTTAAGACAGAAACACTTTGTTCACTTTCAGTAAAGAATTATGTACGTAACAAGGAAACGTTTGTATATATTCTTCTGTGAATTTTGACTATCTTATATGACACTATAGATCAAAATATGTTCCACACAGAACCTTGTTCTTTTAAGACAATCACCCATGATCAATAAAACAACTTTTTCTTCTTAAATATCTATAAAAAAATTGTATTAAACCACTTTTTTTAGCACAAGCCTTAGGTTTCACATAAACAACTAAATAAGCCCTGTTCTTAAATATTATATACTCACTACACCACTTTGTCCTTAATAGTTGAAGGTTGTGGGTCCAATACTTAATTTAGTTTTAAAAATTCAAAGTTTATAATCCAATACTACACTTCATTTCTCTTTACGCAAGTTGAAGATTAAAATAAAATTATAAACTGTAATTCTTCTATATATTTGTTATACCACTCAATATCTTATTTTAGAAATACAAAAACAGGTGTAAAATATTTCACTTTTGTCTCTATTTATAGACATGAAATTAATTATTTACCATGACTTCTTTTTTTATTATAAAAACTCCAGAACAAATGAATTTTGGACTTCTCATGATTACGTATTATCAATATTGCACTATAATGTCTTTATTAAGCCTTTCAAAAACATTTCAATCTTGATAATCAGAATAAAAACTGTCATCAATGACATTTATAGCTGCTGGTTTAATTTTTTTTATATTTGTTTGTTCTTCCACAAATTATCTCTTCAAAAAATACCTCTACTCATTATTACGAATGTTAGTTGACTGATAATATTCATGTAATCTCAAATTATTCATAAGTCAAAAAAATGTAAATGGTAATTTTTCAAAACTTAATTTTTTCTGTACTGGACAAATGTCACTGATATCTCGATTTTTATTCTTTCTCACAATGAAAATACTTAACCAAATTGCACATAACTTAGTAGGTATTAACTAAACAGCATGTAGTTTTGGCTTATTAAATCACAATATGTGCATATTTTATTTTCAGCATTTTTTTTGGGGATTGTAAATTTTCTAAAATGTTGTTGTAAGACACCTTTTTGAAAAAAAACAAAAACAATAAAATTCTTTTTTTCATCTTACAATTGAAATTTATTTTTGATCAGAAGGTTTCACTTCATATATCTTGCCAGTATTCACCACTTTTGGGCTATAAATCTTAAAACATGCAAAAAACTGTAAAAAGTCAGTGACCTAAGATCCACCTTTCAAAATTGCACACTGTTGCCTCCTTCTTACTAGGTATTGTGATTTTTGCTAACAATATTCTTGATCTAGTTTAATCTATATCTAATCTAAAATATTGTTCCTTTTCAATAAATAAAATTATAATTGTGTGCAGTGTTTGAATAAGATAAAATGTGACAATAATATTCAATAAATAAGGACTTGAGTCATTGGAATTTCTTGCCATCACCTACTGTACTTCTTAAACCTAACTAAGCTTACATGATGTCTTGTCATAGAATAAAAATTCTGTATCTTTCGAATAGATGTAATCTAACAATAAAACATTTTCATAAACAAACAAGAATGTTCAAAGGAACTATAAGAAAATCCCCAGATCTGTGATTTGTTCTTAATTTTTTTAAAATTCCTACTTGATTCTCTTGTTCACCACAACAAGTAGAAACCACAAATTACTGCACAAGCCACTTTATTTACTCTACATTGATGTAAATAGTTTATAACCTGCTCTATCCAATCATATTTAACTGATGGCTATAGCTATTTTCAAGGCTGAACTTCATTAGTAATTGTTTATATCACATGCTGTGATATCTTAAAAAGGGTGGTAACAAAGAGCTGTAGTAATAAAATCACTAACAGAGAAAGAAAATAAAGTGTGGATGATAACTTATCAGAAAATACAAACCTATACATTAGAATGAGAAAAAAAAAGTCTAAAAAAAAATCAATGAATGCTGTTTACAAGAGACTCCTCTGAGCTGTGCAGAAATTAATTTTTGTTTGTTTTATAGTAAAGCCACATTGGGCTATCTGCTGTGTCTATTGTGGGGAATCGAACCCCCAGATTTTATCATTGTAAGTCTCCGTAAACTTACAGCCGTCCCATCGAAGAATGCAGAAATGAAAATTATAACTTTTTTCCTTAATATTTCTTTCCAACTTATACTAATTAAATGTTAAAAAATGATAAAATATTAATCATAAAATATGTTTTAGTTAAAAAATTGCTGAAATACAGTGGAAATATTATTTTTACATAGATTTTTTTAAATTTAATATGCAGGTGTGTACTTGACACCTGAAAATTGTCTGTTATCCAGATAGGGTTAAAATATAGTTTTAGTCAATTAGAATACACTGATCGAAACTTTTCATGCTTCATTTTGATGTTTATCGTACAAAATCCTTGACATCAGGATCCAGATAAGTGCATACCTTTGTTTATATCATTAAAATATTAGAAACCTTGAATGAAACAGAAAGATTTAATATTAAAGAACCCCACTAGACACTTTTAAAAAGTAACTGTCTCTTCATCCATTTTGGTTTAATGTTTCTGGATAAGCACTGATGATGCTCTGTTCACTACAAACCTTAAGTAGTGGAAAATACTGTTTTCAGAAACAAGAGTCCTCTCTCTCAAATGTAATCTGTTACACATCTTCAAGCTTCAGTTTCTCCTCTCAGCCGAAGTCTTGCAAAATCCTCAAAAATTATGTCATCATCCTGATCTAATAATCCACTTGTTCCCTCACTATAATCAATCAGAAAACAAAACTGCAATACTATCATCACAGAAATACAATTTTGAAGTAGCCATTAAGTAATGTAACTGCAGAAGTGATACACAAATATTAATGTGTAAATTATTTAATAATTACTTCTCATCATAGCATGCTACCTAAAAAAGAGGAGAATTAAAAATATATACCTGGTAATGTGTGTGTGTGTGTGGATAATTAAGTATAATGTTCAAACTAATAATTACTTATAATGATTAGAATACCTGTTAATGATGTTTTCAGTAACGAATACAATAATATCTCACAAGGTTTTGCCATCCCAGTAGGCTTAGGTGACCTTAAATTAATATACTTGGTTAACAATGCAGAATAATCATTATAATAAAATAATAAACATAAAATTAAATTAGAAATAATAATAAAAAAAAGTTTATAAGTATTGTAATCAACAACGTGGTAAAAGTTTCACTTGTTTAGGCCGATGAACTACCACACAGCGATAAAAGTTATACTTGTCTTAGTCAGCTTAATAGATTTAGTTATAGAGTGTAAGATTATCAAGGCAGCAATGAATAAAAGGTTAAGTAGTTTAATTACTACAACAACAGTAATAATAAAAGTCATATAGATTATGACTGCTAAATACAAGTAATGTAAGTTTGTACCCACACAGCAATGCTACAACATCAGTTATGTTAAAGTTTTTAACTAGAACAAGTGGACAGAGTTTGTATAGTTCTTATTACAGTCTCTTATAACAATAGCAATAATTAGAAAACAAAATGCACACTTACAACAAAGGAGTTGCAAACCATTACTTACGTGTCAAGTTGAATGAGATTGGTATCAACAGGAACTGTCTCATTATCATTCTGTTCCCCCGAGCCTTGCACCGGATGAACAGGAGTACCCTGTGGCTCCTCTGGTTTAGGGTTCATGAGGATAAATGGAAGTTCCGCAACCACATCACTTAAAAAACAAAAGGCATTCCTTTTCTTAATCACGTAATCACCAACTTAACTCTTTTCAGCATGAGTTCCGTCCCTAGGACTGATCTCGTAACCAGTTTGTGCTTGTTATAGTTTCATGCTACAACTTTTAAATTAGTAAGCGAATGTAACTGGAATTTGGCAGATTATCAGTAAACATTACAATGCTTTCATATGCAAAATATAATTTTTTTTTTATTACAGCTTAAGGTTTATAAAGTAACGTTTTTTTCATGTCTTTTTTTCTTTTCACATGTTGCCTATCTGTCATGCAAACTAATATTCATTTTAAGATTAAAAATACTTTTATGCATCAGAAAATTTTGAAATTTTACATGTGAAATCTTTATAATGTCCAGATAGTTATCAAATATTTCTTAAGAAACAACTTTAAATTTTATCTGTTATTTTCAGTAATTACTGTCTGTACATGTTCGGTAGATTTGACCGATCTTGCAACCACCATAAGAAATTAGGAAATAAATATAAATCATGCCTCTTCCATTATAGAATAAACACAAATCATAACATGAAAACATAAATGTTTAGACAAACTAGCTTAAATCTCATAACATTATACATTTATATATATTTATTATTTTTATTTTATTGACCTTTCAGCCACGCCTGGCTAACAATACAGAAGTTACAATGACGTGGCTCATGTGCACTCGTGTTACCGTATCAAATGACATAAAACTAATTTTTGGTCTGTGCAAAGTAACTTGTCTTGGCTGTATTTTAGTAGACTAGTATTTTGTAAAATACAGTCACATTTCCATTATTATTCATATATAGATTAATGCTATTTTGAAATAACTTCTTAAACTTATTTTCATTAAAACATAGAAGAGTAAATAAATAAGTAAAGCAAACAATTATCTCTTCTAGTTACAATCTTTGTACTCAGTTGCTGCTTAACATAGGTTGCTAAGCTTTTAAAGAAATTGCATGTGGGGAATATGAAACAAAATATTTTTTGGGGTTTTATATATATACATTTGAATAACTAAAAAATCATAAAT